AATCGATCGATTAATCCAAGACAATTAATTTTATGTTAATTTTAGCCGTCGATTCCATGCACACACCGACCAAATCTTGTTCGCAGCAGAACACAGTCAATGTGGTTGCATCTGATACAATCACACCCCGTTGTGTCCTCGCCGGTGGTCAGGCACGCGGTTGGACTCCTGAATCGGTTGCCGTCTGTTGGCGGCGATTCCTTGGAATATTGGGTCGTGTAAACTTGATCAAAAGTGTACCCAATCTGGAGCGAATTTACACTTACTATGCCGATCTGACGAATGTGCTGCTTCGAATCCGTGAACATCAACTGCTCACTCCGGTTTCTAATGATTGCGTTCAACCCATTCCGGACTATGTTGTCCCCCTCAATTTTATTCTACCCACCTTATTTGAGGTANTAAATCGATACATGTGTTTTCCCCCAGTCTGTCCTCAGATGCAGCTCATCTTTCCGTACTCATTTTTTTTATGCACAGTTAATATTGTCCAGGTTTACTTTTTTGAAGCTTCAGCGAAATAACAGCTAAACCGGAACTCGTCCAAATCCACGGATCTTTTGCATCAGTGTTTTGTACCACGGACCTCCTAATCTGTTTTTGCTATTTCTGCTTTCAATCACTTGTTTTACTATAATTCATTGTCTCCGTTTTCGTTCTCCGGTCATCTCCATTTTCTCTTTTTGTCTCTATTTGTCTTCTCTTTTTCTCTAGGCCTTACAGTTACCCGATCATCCCGGTCCTGTGAAATTGTCAGCTATTCGAATTCTAAGCGATGCTGTGATTCGTTCCATGGATGGCAAGATCGATGAGGAGGTTCTAAGTCAATTTTATCTCATACTGCATCGGTATTTGACTGCGTTCGAAAAAGTACGCCTTCTTATGGTTGTCGAGTTGTGGTGATTCCGGTCATCGCCTTGATAACAATGATTGTGCTAATACTAGAAATAGTGAACCTTTTTTAATGTCTTTTATTGAATGGATACACGATCTTTTTTTTCTGTGCGTTTGGATAAAAGGTTGTCTGGAGTTTCAGTGAAGTTAAAAAGTAGATCTCGAGGTGATATAATAGTTACCATCAATGCTGTTGAAATTTGAGATCTCAGTTTTCGTACCACATTCATGACTTGTAGTCAGCCAGTGCAAATACAACTACTACTGTCAGTTTTTCACGTTCTCCATGATGGAACTCAGTTCTGTGTTAAGGAAGCGAATCGCCCTTAGCCCCACTGCTCACGTGACATCCCGTGAATGGACTTTAAGCAAACCGCCGTATTCTACATCACTGTATTTAGATGAATGTGCACTGTTGCCTTGAATTGGACAAAATTGCGAACTGTATTTATTTGGTGTCCGTTAAGAGCAAATTATCAAGTGTTTCGTTTTCTTATCCACTGACATCATTTGTGTACTCAGATTGTCCCTACCATAGGGTGATGTACAACACAAGGGGGTAAGCAACCATGAAGACCGAGTTGTGGACGAAAGAAGCCGTAAACCAGTTGTCAGACGCGAAACCACGCGGCGCGTTTTGTCACAACTGAACCGATCGGAACGCGACAAAGTTAGACCCGTCTGTTTATTTGTCCTGACCTAATTGACAGAGTAAACTCGGTTACGTGCTCTACTTCCCACGGGTTTGTGCTTCGCGCGGTGTTCCGTGTGTGCGTGTTTCACTGAGTGCATCCGACCGTGCCAGGCTGGTCAATATGTTCCCCAGAAGGTTTTTGAAACAAGTGATTTCCTCGCTCTTTTCGCCAGTGAATCAGGTGTCCAATCATATAGGAGAAGAATGCCATAATAAGATTATGTTCTGTAGTTCGCAAATTAAATTCGACCAAGCAATTTTCTTCAAGCTTTCCACGAACTGATCGCGAAATAAAAGTTCCAAGACCGTTTGTGGTGGTGGTGATGTCAACATCTAACCCCCACCAAACTTTAGTGGTAGGCAGCTTCGCTGTGATCAGTTTTGATAGCACACTTAACCTAGCAGGGCTTGATGCGTGTTCGCCACTCCGAATCCCCGTTTTCATCAGTGCACTGCAGGTCTTCGTGTCCACAGGTTTCATCTTGTCTGTTGTTCATCATAGTTCACAAAGTCATCATTCTGACTCTAATTTCACTTTTCGTGATTCCCCCCCCCTTGGTTTGTTTTTTCATTCTAATTTACCTAGCCCTGTATACGCGAAATCATCCGCTCCTGTGGTCCACGTATTTTCAGTTCTAATTTGCCCGGGACACACTTACTATTATTGGATTTTCTCAGAGGTGCGGCTCTCGTTCTCGAGGATCAAAGTGGTGTGAAAGAGGTAAGATTGTTTTCTCTCTGTTCCACATCTCAACTGCTTGATGAAGCGCTCCATGTGCGGTAACTCGTTTGATGGTACATTTCCTTTCTCTGCCCCCCCCCCCCCGCCCAGGCCCCTCGAACACAGGCGTTGCTCATGTACACTAATCTGTTGTGTTACCCGTACCACTTTGGACCTTTCGAGTCACTCGAGTCGAGCTCACCAAGCACGCTGAAACTCATCACTTGTAATGATTTGAAAGTGAGTGTGCATCGTTGTTGTTCTACTTATTACCCTCATGTGCACTGTTTGCGTGACAATTTTGTCCTCGTCCCTTCATCATTTTCACCTTGCGGTCACCATAACGCGTGTAGTTGGTCTCTATCTGTCAACTACGCACAATGCCTGCAACTCTCTTATGTTGTATAGACCCTCTCCAGCAGATTATTTGCCTTAGGTTACCCTGATTGCTTAGTTATATTCTATTCATTTCATTTTTACTCTGTTGTCCCTATAAGCAGCTTTTTAACTTGCTTCTAGTTTCATTGTGAATGTTATAGTGTTTCTAGTTTCTAGTTTCATTTCAGATAGTAACTCAGTCTAAGAAAATTTCTGTAAATGTCCTTCTCAAGGTTCGTTTCCCACCCATCCACCCCCTCGTTTTCTTTTTAAAGGAAAAATTGATAAATGCACTTATATCGGCCGCACAATCTGACCCAAATGCGGAAGCCCGGTGTCTCGCTTTGACTGCTTTGGCTATGCATTGTGCAATCGAACTGGTTCATCTCCACGCCGAAAGTGCCACCCGGTCCAGGCACATCACCCCTCCGACTAACACATTGGTCAATGACGCACTGGTTGTCCTCCTGGGTATGATGCGATTCCCGGACCATTCGGTTGCTGTCGTAGCTGTGGAAATGGTCCTGATGTTGGCCGAATATTGTGATCTATTCCTCAAATTCATGCCGCGTTTGCCACCGCTGATTATTCGGGTAAGTAATGAACTCTGTCTGTCTATCGGTCGTTGTCGGAATACAAACTGTGGCCGCTCGGGGCGTTTCGATCGAATCTATGCTGCTTTTGAAGCAAATGGTCGACAGTGATGATAGGAAATGGGTGAGCAATGAGAGTAAGTGTAACAACCTCGAGCAAAAACTTTATGACGATGAAAAGTTGCAATGGAGCAACCAGCAACAACGGCCGAGTTCGATGGGAATGGTTCATATGGGGCATTGCCCTAGGTTAAATTGCAACTGCCATAGAAACGGAAGCGAACTAAGCATGACCTCACACGTAAAAACCATATTCTAGGTTTAGTGCAGATCTATATCTTTTACAACGGGGTGGTAAGAGAATCTGTGGGAATAAGACGGTTGCGATCAAGTTGACAATATTGAGGTGGACAGATGAACAGCAACAGTTACAAGTCACTTTCAGAAATCGTAGATCTGAAGCTCGTTTTATGCAGCAAAGCATCATGTGCTCCACAGGTCTATTTTCCGATAGATGAAAATCATATAATTTGCGGAGGTACTGAATCTCGGGGAATACTATCGATTAGTGAGGGCTTGTTGAGTCAGTTTCAGTTTGTAAATACTTAACCATAAACTGTCTTTTAGCTGCCCGTGTGAATAGAACAGATTTAAGAGTTCAAAGCAGTCAGAAGATAAAAATAGAGAAATAAGGTAGAGTTAGTCTGCAAAGAGATATAGTCACCGTTTGTGACACTCACTGTCTCCGACCATGAACTACACTGATCCAGAGGCCCCGATCCAGGAAGCCTAACGGGGCTTATATGACCGAGTCGCTTGATCAGGGTCTTTCCGCCCCCAAGCAGGTATTTATTTGACCACCATTGACTCTGCTCTTGAAATTTCCATCTTCCTGCTCTTTAATTAAAATGGGCAGCCTAAAGACAGCATCCGAAACCACCACACGTAGGCGCATCGTTAACGGTTGTAAAAACTGAAATGAATTGAGTCATTGACGTTTTCTCACTCACTACCTATCTTGACAAACATTACTTTCCAGGTGGCAGTTTGCTACCTGTGAGAATCGTCCCGTCTAAACCGATGACACCTTCGGAGATGGGTGAAGGAATCTATGAACCGCATATAAGCTAATGCTATGACCAAGGAAACTACAGATCAGATTAGTTTCGCGAGTGATCTCTAATGCTTGACTTATTCGCATCAGTTCGGGATAACATGCTGTGAAATGGAAACCTATAGGTCACTGGTAAGTGAATGGGTGCGCTATGAAACTGTATTGATATTCTTTTAGTTGTTTTTTGTGTTCGTGCAGATTAAGCGGCACCCGATGGTGGTTATTAATGCTTTGTACAATCGCAGATTAAGGTTGTCAAGACGGATATTGATACGGTCGGCAATGCCACCAGTGGATAAATCCACTGCGTCTTCCTAGGGGCCAAGGAATGCGTTAAACCGTGGGATGCATATATCCGGAGTTTTTAGATGATTGTTGTTCGTCCGGGTGCCCCTTTTATGTCCAGTGGCAAAACAGACGGACCTAATGTTTTCGTAATGCAATCAAAGCTAAAAGCAGCCAGCTGTACAATATGTACGAGGGGATCAGAAATACTGTTCAATTTCGTTTTTTGTTGGCATTTTAAGGTGTCTTTTACTTTTATGCACCGTGCAACAAACTTATCTCCACTCCCATATGCACGATCGTCATCACTTTTAAGGGTCCAGACAACGATCGAATGTAAAGCCACAACAGGAAACTTCATCAAATTATCTTCAACTTTAGCGAGAACAAGTTCAGAAAACCGAATTTTCAGCACGGCAAAAGTGTTGCACTCCCCATCGACTTCAGGCACCCAACTCGGCAAGACGATCAACATCTCGAGTTCATACCTCGGCATAGCTACTGGAAATCGTGGTGATTCAGTGGTGGGCAGACTGGTGTATGGTACGGCCATGGTGATGTCACACCCAATGACCTTGAAACAACAAAGACATCCAAAAACGTCACTACAAGCCATTATCAACCATGTCACGATGGAAGCGACTTACTGGTGAGGAGGAATTCAGAATTGATACCCGTGACATCACGGGTCAGCAACGTAAGATAGTCAGAACATGTTGGAAGTAATGTGGAATGATCTTAGCTCGGGATGCGGATGTTGTTGTTTATGTTCTCTAAACTGGAAGTGTTGTTCGCAAACGTTTCGTAGCCAGGCTAGGAAACATCATCTGTGCAACTGTTAATCAAGCAATGGCCCAGCCGAACTCGCCATACTACACCTAGTGCAAGGTTCTGATGCATATATTCGTACACTGGAGTGGCGCCTTAGGCTATCAAGGGTATAGAACAATCACTCTGAAGGCATTTTTCAGCAAGATATCACCGTGGTTCATTACTCATACCTGAGAAAATGCTGGTCATTATTTTGTGGCATCAAAACAATGTTATCACCTGCGTGCAACCCAAATTTGAACCCGATAGAACAATTCTAACCTGAAAGGTGCACGAAAACTCCAGAATTGATACTATGAAACATAATTGGGAGTCATTGTTTATTAGGAAGCGTAATAATATCGACAACGACATGATTCTAGTAACAAATTGGCTACAATGGGTGGAGTCTATGGGGATTGAAACACTTTCATCGTGGTGAAAATTCGGTTTTTTTCTACATAAGTATTTTCGTTAAAACTAAAGTTAACTTGATAAAATTTCATATTACGGCTTTTCACTTGATTGCAGTTCATATTCTCAAAAATTCTGCTGATTGTATAGACGAGAACGGAGATAATCAAAAAAATCCATCCAGGAGGATGCGATATTTTTTCGCGAATTGTGTTTGCACATCCCGATTGAACAAACTAGTCAGCTGGTGATATTCACCTAATTACAGCTACAGCATAATGTGGGGTTGGTCATCATCTCGTGATCAGTTTCAGTTTAGCGTCTAAAGGTCAATCGATGTTTCTCCAAGCAGTCCAATCAATCCGTCGGGTTTGTGTGTATAAATTCATGTATTTACACCCGTTCCTCGCTCTCTATCTCACGCACTTATTTGCTTTCACTGTAGACGAAGCTGAACTAGCACACTTTTTAATTTTATCACGTAAATCGATACAATTTTTATATATTCTACGAAGAAGCGGCTGTCTCCATCTGGTTGAAACCAGTTTTTCAGTTTCGGTTTGTACAACCCATGCACTTTCGTGCGCCGGTTTTGGTTGCTGTCTTTGGCTGACCATTTGGACATACCGTAGAAGAAAGACTGGAAAGCTGAAAGTAGAGTCGAAGAGAAAATGGAGAATTTCTCTGGACTACGGTTGCAAAGAAATTGAGATGTATTAACGCCGTTGCTTATAACACTGCCTCTAAACACCGGTTACCGTAATCCCGAGGCCCCCAACCAGAGAACTTAATGAAATCTATGTGGCAGAGTCTTCTGGTTATATGTATATAATATGTATTCAAACGGGTTTGGAACCACTGGTCTACCGCCATGACCGCAACTGATGATTTAACGATGGTGGAGCTTGGGTTACCCAATAGAAGCGTACTATTTCAGGATATTTCGACTACTGCCGCTATTC